CGCAATGCCTTTAAAAGAGGGGAACATCTCTGCAGGATCAAGGACCACCTTCTGGTGAACAGCATCCCTATTGTACAATTACTTCCATCCCCAAAACTCTGCACTCAGACAGGATTAAAAGGGATCTCTCTTGAGTTCATGCAGTGATTCCTAGTTACATCAGTAAGACTTTTTCAACAGTAGGTGTTATACAACTGTAGCATAGCTCATATAGACATGAGAGGAGGAATTATTTGCAGATAAAGCATTGCATATATAACCATTGTGAAAGTTCCTCAGCAGCTATTCTAAGAATTCTAAAGAGGCATTTTCCAATACAGACATAACTCCCCACAGAAGAATACCTTTCATTAAATCATCCCACCCATATCACTGTATTGTAAGTATATTAAATCTCCTTGAAGTTGAGATCCATCTAGCTTTTTTGGAAACAAGATTGTGTTTCTCCTTTCCTGTCTTCTGGTTTCCATTTCCCCTTCCAGCCTACATCCCTGGGATTTTCCTAGTGGTCTTAAATGAATCAGAAAAAAATATTTAAAATATGAAAATGTTAATATTTTGAAAATTGTACTTTTTAAATTTTAGAATCATAGTGGAGAAATGCAACAAGATAATGGTTTCACAGTACAGCATTCTAGGGTTAAGCTTGTGAGATTCCAGCCCAAATGTGCCCAAGCTAGCTGGTGCTATCTCTAACGTTGGCAGGGAATTGATTGATAGATCGATTATAACCTTTTTGATTGATTATGTTCCATCAGGACATTTTCAATCCTAGTGGCTACATAGATATTCTCCATGACAGTCTATCCCTAACCTGTTCTTTCAAGTCTCTCAATGGTGTCCTCATCACCAATGTAACTGAGTCTATCCACCTTACTGCTGGTCTTCCTCTTCTTCTATTTCCTTCTCCATTTCCAAGCATGAGAGCTTTCTCCAGAGAGCTAGGTCTTCGCATATTGTGTCTGAAATAGGGAGTTTGAGCCTGGTCATTTAAGCCATCCAGAATAACTGTGTGTGAGTTGGGTGGACATCTATATTTGTTAAATAAACAAACAAACAAACAAATAAATAAATAAATAAATAAATATAAAGAGTATATGCTAATAGGAAGACAATAAAAAAAAATCATACAGGAATCCAGGAAATAAAACACCTATTCATGTAGGTATTATGTGCAAGCCATAAGCTATAGTAATTAGTGGAGGTTAATGTCTATAGGCTTATCTGGGGACAACCATGGCAAATATGGAATTGCAACTTGAAATGAAACAGGAGGAAATAAGAAATGATATGAACTTAAAATAAAATGAAAGAATAACAAAGGTTTGTTTTGCGCCAATGAATCTAAGAGAAAGAGGAAGGATGGAACTGATTTGCATAAAGGCAGTCTGACCTTGTAGAGTGGAGCTAATGAATATATGTAGAGAATATATGTAGAGAATGAGTGGAGCTAATGAATATATGTAGAGAAGAAAAGGTGTAGCTTCTTCAATAAAAGGAATGCGAGGATAAATTCGTATTTGTATTATCTAGGTGATTCATGCGTATGAAGATTAGAATCTATAGATTGGAGATACAGTAGTTGCACATTATGCTACATTAATGGTGATCATAGGGAAAGAAGAGATGAGCTTGAGGATAATTATGCAATCCTCTGAATAAAAGCAATCCAGGGGCAAAAATTCTATCAGGTGACAAGAATTTTATATCTGAATTGTCTGAAGACACATTCGGGGTTGGCAAAAAGAAAAGAATATTTTAAGTTAAATAATACATAAAAGCATTCACAAACGTATTTTCCTCAATTTCATGTGGTCATTATAAAAAGTGAATTTGAAAAATTAATAAGCATTGGGCAAGTTCCTCACTCAGGCCTAAACTAATATTAAGGTCATAGTCCAGAAACTATTATCTTGGATCAGTCTTATTTGATTAACAGCAGATAATGCAACGGAATGTGGTCAGTGGTGTTCTCTGACCTAAAATATGAAGCTCAGGGAAAGCTGGAAACAATTAATTAATGGTGAAAGTTTCCCCTCCTCTCTCTCTCACTTTCCCTCTTTTTTCTTTTCAACTTTAAACCTACTTCAGCTCATCTATGGTTCTGCTCCAGTCATGAACTACAAAACCCCAGGCCTTTCCTTCTTCCAAATGAGTCCAATGGAAAGAATTCAGTATGAAGGGATCCTGTCTCTGCTTCTTAATTTCAACTGGACGTGGATCGGGGTTGGTGTAATGGATAATGATAATGGAGAAAGATTTCTAGATATGATCATTCCATTTTTTTCTAAGCATGACATTTGCTTTACCTTCACAGAGAGAATTTCATATATAGGGTCAGTTAATGAATTGTCTTCTATATTTGAACAAGGTGCAAAAATACATGATAAAATCATGGAAGGCAAAAGCAATGTGATGATTTTCTATGGAGAGTCCAATGCCTTGGTTTTCCTGAGATGGTTACCATATCTGTCAAAAAAAGAACATGATACAGGCACAGCACTATATTTGAACAAGGTGCAAAAATACATGATAAAATCATGGAAGGCAAAAGCAATGTGATGATTTTCTATGGAGAGTCCAATGCCTTGGTTTTCCTGAGATGGTTACCATATCTGTCAAAAAAAGAACATGATACAGGCACAGCAAAAGGGAAAGTATGGATATTGACATCTCAAGCACAACTTGCATCAAATGTCTATCAAAACGATTGGGATACACAAATAATCCATGGAGCTCTATCCTTCACAATTCACACCAACAACCCACCAGGATTTCAGCCTTTTCTTGAAAGCAGAAATCCTCTTAACCCCAAAACAGATGGCTTTATCCTAGACTTCTGGCAACATGCCTTCAATTGTGTATTTCAAACTTCATTGATTGACAAGGTGGTTGGAGATCTCTGCACTGGAAAAGAGAATATGGAAACCCTTCCTAAAATTGTTTTTGAAATGGGCATGATTGGTCACAGTTACAGGATCTATAATTCTGTCTATGCTGTGGCCTATGCGTTACATACCATGCTGTCATCTAGATTTCGACACAGACGAAGAGTAGATGAAAGGAGCTTGAACATTCACAATCAAGTTGCCTGGCAGGTAAATGGGGAGAAGATCCTCAGGTAATCAGCAAGTGTAGAACATAATATAAAGGAAATTATAAACCATACTGATAAAAGATGTTGGTTCAATCAAGCTATGAGCTCCATATTGCTCCTCTGGCCACTAGATTTCCCCCCCCAAAGATACAGCTGTGTCTTTCTAAACCTCTGCCTTTCCCTTTTCACTCTAGGTGCATCACTTCTTGAAAGG